TAGAATAATGTGAGATATGAGGGTTAAATAATACACTGCCCATCACATTTCCAGTACCATCGTAACACGAACAATGTAAAGGAGAACATATATCAAACAGGAAAACATAAGTTGGGGTTTTGTGCTGACTGCTGGCTCTGTTCTCCTATTGGCTATAATTTGGTCGATTTACATTTTAGTCCACCAATCATAGTTTAGTAAGAAATTGCTGGACCTATGCAATATATTCAGCACCTTGACCAAGCAAGCTATAGGACTTATCGGCGGGACGCTTCTGGTAGGGCCCCTGGGGCGCCACAGCCTCTGGGACGGCCATAGGGGCACTTCTGTCTATGGGAGGGCCTCTGGGGTCGCCGTAACCGCCCCTGGGAGAGTACCTGGAGTTACCGCCCCCTCTGGGAGAGCCCCTGGGTTCTCTATCGATTCAGGCCTGGCCCCTGGGGTCGCCGTTGCTAGTGATAAGGCCCCTGGGGTTGTCGCCCCCTCTGCTAGGGCTCCTTGGGTCACTGCCACCCTTGCGGGTGCCACTGCCCCTGGAAGAGCCGTTGGTGGCGTCGACGCCATTGGGAGGGCCCATGGGAGTTTTGCCCCCCCTGGGGGAGCCCCTGTGGGCTCTGCCTCCACTATGAAGGCTTCTGGAGGCAACCACGCCCCTGGAAAACCCTGTGGGATCGCCGACGCCTCTGAGAGAGCCCATGTGTAGCCGCCGATCCTGGGAAGTTCCCTGGTGGCTCTGCCGCCCCTGGGAGGGTCCTTGGGGATGACACACCTGGTAGGGCAAATGGGAGGGTTCCAGGGAGCACTGTCCCTGTAGGGCCTCTGAGGGCAGTTGTTTTTGCACTATTTAGAATAATGGGAGATACGAGGGTTAAATTATACACTGCCCATCACATTTCCAGTACCATCGTATCACGAACAATGTAAAGGAAAATAAATATCCAACAGGAAAACATAAGTTGGGGTGTTGTGCTGACTGCTGGCTCTGTTCTGCTATTGGCTGTAAGTTGGTGGATTTACATTTTAGTCCACGAATCACAGTAAAGTAAGTGATTGTTGGACGTTTGCCATATATACTGCACCATGACCAAGCAAGCTATAGGGCTTCTTGGAGGGACGCTCCTTGTAGGGCCCCTGGGGCGCCACAGCCTCTGGGACGGACATAGGGGCACTTTTGTCTATGGGAAGGTCTCTGGGGTCGGCGCCCCCGACCCTGGGAGGACTGGTGGAGTTACCACCGCCTTTGCGAGGGCCCCTGGGGTACAGCGACTCAAGGAGCCTTTGCAGGGGCTTCAACGTTCCCCGGGGCCTTCCATGGGGCTGTGGCGACCCCGGAGGCCCTCTCTGGAGCAACGGCGATTCCAGAGGCCTTATCAAGGGCAGCAACGACCCAAGAGATCCTCTCTGAAGCCTCAGCGACTCCATGGGGCCCTCCCATTGTCATAGAAGCCCTCAAGGGCCCTTTCAGGGGCGTCGGCGCCCCCTGGGGCCCTCCTAGATGCGGCAGTGTCCACAGGGGGCCCATGGGGGTGGGGACGACCTCAGAGACAAACTCAGGGGAAGCTGTAACCCTAAAGGCCCTCTCAGGGGCAGCGGCAACCTCGTGGTTCTCCTAGCGACAGCATCACCTCCAGAGGCCCTCTCAAGGGCGGTGGCGAGCCCATGGGTCTCTCGCAGGGGATGGTGTGAACACAGGGGCCCTCTCAGGCGTGGCAGGGCTCTCAAGGGTCCTTCCAGGCATTGTAGTGCCCCAGGGGCCCTACCAGGGGAGCCGCTTCCCAGAAGCCTTATAGCTTGCTTGGTCATGGTGCTGTATATATTGCATACGTGCAGTAATCCTTTAGTTAACTGTGATTGGTGGACTAAAATGTAAATCCACCAATTTACAGCGAAAAGGAGAACAAAACAGTCAGTCAGCACAACACCCCAACTTATGTTTTCCTGTTGGATATATATTCTTCTTTACATTGTTCATGATTCGATGGTACTGGAAATGTGATGAGCGGTGTATTTATTTAAAGCTCATAGTGCACCTTGAACAATGTAAAGGAGAATAAATATCCAACAGGAAAGCATAAGTTGGGGTGTTGTGCTGAATGACTCCTCTGTTCTACTATTGGCTGTAATTTGGTGGGTTTACATTTTAATCCACCAATCACAGTAAAGTAAGGGATTGCTGGACGTCTGCAATATATATACTACATTAAGAAAAAGCAAGTTATAAGGCTTCTGGGAGGGGGCAGCCCTGGTAGGGCCCCTGGGGCACCGTCACCTCTGGAAGGGCCCCAGGGGGCACTGCCGCCTCTGGGCGGGCCTCTAGGGGCACTGCGGTCGCCCCTGGGAGGGCACCTGGAGTTACCGGCCACCTGGGAGAGCCCCTGGGTTCTCTATCGATTTCGGTCCTGGCCCCTGGGGTCGCTGTAGCTCCTGATAAGGCCCATGGGGTCGTCGTTGCTCCTGATAAGGCCCCCTCTGCAAGGGCTCCTTGGGTCACTGCCACCTTTGGGGGTGCCACCGCCCCTGGAAGAGCCCTTGGTGGCGCCGCCATCAATGGGAGGGCCCATGAGAGTTTCGCTCCCCTGGGGGAGCCCCTGTGGGCACTGCCTCCACTATGAAGGCTTCTGAGGGCAACCACGCCCCTGGAAACGCCTGTGGGATCGCCGACGCCTCTATGAGAGACCCTGTGTCGCCGCCGATCCTGGGAAGTTCCCTGGTGGCGCCGCCACCCCTGGGAGGATCCCTGGGGGTGCCGCACCTGGTACGGCAAAGGGGAGGGTTCCAGGGAGCGCTGTCCCTTCTAGGGCCTCAGCGGGCAGTTGTTTTTTGTACTATTTAGAATAATGTGAGATATGAGGGTTAAATAAATACACTGCCCATCACATTTCCAGTACCATCGTAACACGAACAATGTAAAGGAGAACATATATCAAACAGGAAAACATAAGTTGGGGTGTTGTGCTGACTGCTGGCTCTGTTCTCCTATTGGCTATAATTTGGTGGATTTACATTTTAGTCCACCAATCACAGTTAAGTAAGGGATTGCTGGACGTATGCAATATATTCAGCACCATGACCAAGCAAGCTATAGGACTTATCGGCGGGACGCTTCTGGTAGGGCCCCTGGGGCGCCACAGCCTGGGACAGCATAGGGGGCACTTCTGTCTATGGGAGGGCCACTGGGGTCGCCATGGCCCGCCTGGGAGGGCTGCTGGAGTTACCACGCACTGCGAGGTCCTGGGTCTGTTCAAGAGGAGCATAAGCAGGGGCTTCACGGACCCGTGGTACTGTGGCCCTCCAGGCCCTCTCTGGAGCAACGGCGTTTCTAGAGGCCTTATCAAGAGCAGCAACGTCCCTAGGGATCTTTCTTGAGGCCTCTGCGACACCATGGGACCCTCCAATTGTCGTCGGAGCCCCGAAGGGCCCTCCCAAGGGCGTCGGCGCACCCTGGGGCCCTCCAAGTGGCGGCAGTGTCCACTGAGGCCCCATGGGGGTGGTGACGACCTTAGAGACGAACTCAGGGGAAGCTGTAACCCCAAGGGCTCTCTCGGGGGCAGCGGCAACCCCGTAGTTCTCCAAGCGACAGCATCACCTCCAGAGGCCCTCTCAAGTTCGGTGGCGACCCCATGTTCTCTCGGAGGGGCTGGTGCGACCCCAGGGGCCCTCTCAGGCGTCGCAGGGCTCTCAAGGGACCTTCCAGGCACTGTAGTGCCCCAGGGGCCCTACCAGGGGCGCCCCTTCCCAGAAGCCTTATAGCTTGCTTGGTCATGGTGCTGTATATAGCGCAGTAGTCCCATGGGAGAACAGAATCTTATTCTCCTTGTTCATGATGGTACTTTGGAAACGTGCACCTTGAACAATGTAAGGAGAATAAATATCCAACAGGAAAACATAAGTCAGGGGTGTTGTGCTGACTGACTCATTTCCTATTGAAACTTGTAATTTGGTGGGTTTGCATTTTATTCCCACCAATCACAGTAAAGTAAAGTTGCTGGACGTCCTTGTAATATATGCTACATTATGAGAACAGCAGAATTATCAGGCTTTTGGGAGGGGCAGCCCTGGTGGGGCCATTGGGGCCGTTGCCTCTGGGAGGCCGGGGTGGCACTGCAGTCGCCCCTGGGAGAGTACCTGGAGTTACCGCCCCCTTTGGGAGAGCCCCTGGGTTCTCTATCGATTCCGGCCTGGCCCCTGGGGCCGCGGTTGCTCCTGAGAAGGCCCCTGGGGTTGCCGCCCCCTCTGCTAGGGCTCCTTGGGTCACTGCCACCGTTGGGGGTGCCACTGCCCCTGGAGGAGCCGTTGGTGGCGCCGCGGCCATTGGGAGGGCCCATGGGAGTTTCGCTCCCCATGGGGGAGGCCCTTTGGGCACCACCTCCACTCTTTAGGCTTCTCGGGGCAACCACGGCCCTGGAAAAGCCTGTGGGATTGCCGACGCCTCTGATAGAGCCCCTGTGTCGCCGCCGTTCCTGGGAAGTTCCCTGGTGGCGCCGCCGCCCCTGGGAGGGTCCCTGGGGGTGCCGCACCTGGTAGGGCAAATGGGAGGGTTCCAAGGAGCGCTGTCCCTGTAGGGCCTCAGAAGGCAGCTGTTTTTTGCACTCTTTAGAATAATGTGAGATATGAGGGTTAAATAATACACTGCCCATCACATTTCCAGTACCATCGTAACACGAACAATGTAAAGGAGAACATATATCAAACAGGAAAACATAAGTTGGGGTTTTGTGCTGACTGCTGGCTCTGTTCTCCTATTGGCTATAATTTGGTCGATTTACATTTTAGTCCACCAATCATAGTTTAGTAAGAAATTGCTGGACCTATGCAATATATTCAGCACCTTGACCAAGCAAGCTATAGGACTTATCGGCGGGACGCTTCTGGTAGGGCCCCTGGGGCGCCACAGCCTCTGGGACGGCCATAGGGGCACTTCTGTCTATGGGAGGGCCTCTGGGGTCGCCATGGCCTCCCTGGGAGTACCTGGGTTGCCTCTGGGAAGCCCCTGGGTTCTCCTATCGATTCCGGCCTGGCCTAAGGTGCCGCCGATGCCTAGTGATAAGGCCCCTGAGGTTGTCCTTTCTGCTAGGGCTCCTTGGGTGCTCACCACCCTTGGTGCCACCCTGAGCCGTTGGTGGCGTCAACGCCATTGGGAGGCCCATGGGAGTTTGCCCCCCCTGGGGGCCTGTGGGCTCTGCCTCCTGCTGAGCACGGAGCAACCCGCCCCTGGAAAACCCTGTGGGATCGCCGACGCCTCTGAGAGAGCCCATGTAGCCGCCGATCCTGGGAGTTCCTGGTGGCTCTGCCGCCCCTGGGGGTCCTTGGGGATGACACACCTGGTAGGGGCTTAAATGGGAGGGTTCAGGAGGCACTGTCCTGTGGGGCCTCTGAGGGCAGTTGTGTTTGCACTATTTAAAACTCTGAGATATATAACGTTAAATAAATACACTGCCCATCACATTTCCAGTGTCATTGCATCCTGAACAATGAAAAGGAGATTATATATCCAACAGGAAAACATAAGTTGGGGTGTTGTGCTGACTGATTGCTCTGTTCTTCTATTGGCTGTAATTTGGTGGATTTACATTTTAGTCCACCAATCACAGTAAAATGTGATTGTTTGGACGTTTGCCGCCTCCTGCACCATGACCAAACAGCTATAGGGCTTCTTGGAGGACGCTCCTTGTAGGGCCCCTGGGGCGCCACAGCCTCTGGGACGGACATAGGGGCACTTTTGTCTATGGGAAGGTCTCTGGGGTCGGCGCCCCCGACCCTGGGAGGACTGGTGGAGTTACCACCGCCTTTGCGAGGGCCCCTGGGGTACAGCGACTCAAGGAGCCTTTGCAGGGGCTTCAACGTTCCCCGGGGCCTTCCATGGGGCTGTGGCGACCCCGGAGGCCCTCTCTGGAGCAACGGCGATTCCAGAGGCCTTATCAAGGGCAGCAACGACCCAAGAGATCCTCTCTGAAGCCTCAGCGACTCCATGGGGCCCTCCCATTGTCATAGAAGCCCTCAAGGGCCCTTTCAGGGGCGTCGGCGCCCCCTGGGGCCCTCCTAGATGCGGCAGTGTCCACAGGGGGCCCATGGGGGTGGTGACGACCTCAGAGACAAACTCAGGGGAAGCTGTAACCCCAAAGGCCCTCTCAGGGGCAGCGGCAACCTCGTGGTTCTCCAAGCGACAGCATCACCTCCAGAGGCCCTCTCAAGGGCGGTGGCGAGCCCATGTGCTCTCGCAGGGGATGGTGTGAACACAGGGGCCCTCTCAGGCGTGGCAGGGCTCTCAAGGGTCCTTCCAGGCATTGTAGTGCCCCAGGGGCCCTACCAGGGGAGCCGCTTCCCAGAAGCCTTATAGCTTGCTTGGTCATGGTGCTGTATATATTGCATACATGCAGTAATCCTTTAGTTAACTGTGATTGGTGGACTAAAATGTAAATCCACCAATTTACAGCGAAAAGGAGAACAAAACAGTCAGTCAGCACAACACCCCAACTTATGTTTTCCTGTTGGATATATATTCTTCTTTACATTGTTCATGATTCGATGGTACTGGAAATGTGATGAGCGGTGTATTTATTTAAAGCTCATAGTGCACCTTGAACAATGTAAAGGAGAATAAATATCCAACAGGAAAACATAAGTTGGGGTGTTGTGCTGAATGACTCCTCTGTTCTACTATTGGCTGTAATTTGGTGGGTTTACCATTTAATCCACCAATCACAGTAAAGTAAGGGATTGCTGGACGTCTGCAATATATACTACATTATGAAAAAGCAAGTTATAAGGCTTCTGGGAGGGGGCAGCCCTGGTAGGGCCCCTGGGGCACCGTCACCTCTGGAAGGGCCCTAGGGGGCACTGCCGCCTCTGGGCGGGCCTCTAGGGGCACTGCGGTCGCCCCTGGGAGGGCACCTGGAGTTACCGCCCACCTGGGAGAGCCCCTGGGTTCTCTATCGATTTCGGTCCTGGCCCCTGGGGTCGCTGTAGCTCCTGATAAGGCCCATGGGGTCGTCGTTGCTCCTGATAAGGCCCCCTCTGCAAGGGCTCCTTTGGTCACTGCCACCTTTGGGGGTGCCACCGCCCCTGGAAGAGCCCTTGGTGGCGCCGCCATCAATGGGAGGGCCCATGAGAGTTTCGCTCCCCTGGGGGAGCCCCTGTGGGCACTGCCTCCACTATGAAGGCTTCTGAGGGCAACCACGCCCCTGGAAACGCCTGTGGGATCGCCGACGCCTCTATGAGAGACCCTGTGTCGCCGCCGATCCTGGGAAGTTCCCTGGTGGCGCCGCCACCCCTGGGAGGATCCCTGGGGGTGCCGCACCTGGTAGGGCAAAGGGGAGGGTTCCAGGGAGCGCTGTCCCTTCTAGGGCCTCAGAGGGCAGTTGTTTTTTGTACTATTTAGAATAATGTGAGATATGAGGGTTAAATAAATACACTGCCCATCACATTTCCAGTACCATCGTAACACGAACAATGTAAAGGAGAACATATATCAAACAGGAAAACATAAGTTGGGGTGTTGTGCTGACTGCTGGCTCTGTTCTCCTATTGGCTATAATTTGGTGGATTTACATTTTAGTCCACCAATCACAGTTAAGTAAGGGATTGCTGGACGTATGCAATATATTCAGCACCATGACCAAGCAAGCTATAGGACTTATCGGCGGGACGCTTCTGGTAGGGCCCCTGGGGCGCCACAGCCTCTGGGACGGCCATAGGGGCACTTCTGTCTATGGGAGGGCCTCTGGGGTCGCCGTAACCGCCCCTGGGAGGGCTGCTGGAGTTACCACCGCCTTTGCGAGGGTCCCTCGGGTCACAGCAATTCAAGGAGCATAAGCAGGGGCTTCACGGACCCGTGGTACCTTCCCTGGGGCTGTGGCGACCCCTTGAGGCCCTCTCTGGAGCAACGGCGATTCTAGAGGCCTTATGAAGGGCAGCAACGACCCGAGGGATCTTTCCTGAGTTCTCAGCGACCCCATGGGGCCCTCCAATTGTCGTCGGAGCCCTCAAAGGCCCTCCCATGGGCGTCGTCGCCCCCTGGGGCCCTCTCAGCGGTGGCAGTGTTCACAGGGGCCCCATGGGGGTGGTGAAGACCTCAGAGACAAACTCAGGGTAAGCTGTAACCCCAAGGGCCCTCTTAGGGGCAGTGGAAACCCCGTGGTTCTCCAAGTGACAGCATCACCTCCAGAGGCCCTCTCAAGGGCGGTGGCGACCCCATGTTCTCTCGCAGGGGCTGGTGGGACCGCAGGGGCCCTCTCAGGCATGGCAGGGCTCTCAAAGGCTCTTTCAGGCACTGTAGTGCCCCAGGGGCCCTACCAGGGGCGCCCCTTCCCAGAAGCCCTATAGCTTGCTTGGTCATGGTGCTGTATATATTGCATACGCGCAGTAATCCCTTACTTAACTGTGATTGGTGGACTAAAATGTAAACCCACCAAATTACAGCCAATAGGAGAACAGAGGAGTCAGTCAGCACAACACTCTGACTTATGTTTTCCTGTTGGATATTTATTCTCCTTTACATTGTTTATGATTCGATGGTACTGGAAATGTGAAGGGCGGTGTATTTATACGCTCATAGTGCACCTTGAACAATGTAAAGGAGAATAAATATCCAACAGGAAAACAAGTCAGGGTGTTGTGCTGACTGACTCCTCTGTTCTCCTATTGGCTGTAATTTGGTGGGTTTACATTTTAGTCCACCAATCACAGTAAAGTAAAGGATTGCTGGACGTCTGCAATATATACTACATTATGAACAAGCAAGTTATAAGGCTTTTGGGAGGGGGCAGCCCTGGTAGGGCCATTGGGGCACCGTTGCCTCTGGGAGGGCCCCAGGGGGCACTGCAGTCGCCCCTGGGAGAGTACCTGGAGTTACCGCCCCCTTTGGGAGAGCCCCTGGGTTCTCTATCGATTCCGGCCTGGCCCCTGGGGCCGCGGTTGCTCCTGAGAAGGCCCCTGGGGTTGCCGCCCCCTCTGCTAGGGCTCCTTGGGTCACTGCCACCGTTGGGGGTGCCACTGCCCCTGGAGGAGCCGTTGGTGGCGCCGCGGCCATTGGGAGGGCCCATGGGAGTTTCGCTCCCCATGGGGGAGGCCCTTTGGGCACCACCTCCACTCTTTAGGCTTCTCGGGGCAACCACGGCCCTGGAAAAGCCTGTGGGATTGCCGACGCCTCTGATAGAGCCCCTGTGTCGCCGCCGTTCCTGGGAAGTTCCCTGGTGGCGCCGCCGCCCCTGGGAGGGTCCCTGGGGGTGCCGCACCTGGTAGGGCAAATGGGAGGGTTCCAAGGAGCGCTGTCCCTGTAGGGCCTCAGAAGGCAGCTGTTTTTTGCACTCTTTAGAATAATGTGAGATATGAGGGTTAAATAATACACTGCCCATCACATTTCCAGTACCATCGTAACACGAACAATGTAAAGGAGAACATATATCAAACAGGAAAACATAAGTTGGGGTTTTGTGCTGACTGCTGGCTCTGTTCTCCTATTGGCTATAATTTGGTCGATTTACATTTTAGTCCACCAATCATAGTTTAGTAAGAAATTGCTGGACCTATGCAATATATTCAGCACCTTGACCAAGCAAGCTATAGGACTTATCGGCGGGACGCTTCTGGTAGGGCCCCTGGGGCGCCACAGCCTCTGGGACGGCCATAGGGGCACTTCTGTCTATGGGAGGGCCTCTGGGGTCGCCGTAACCGCCCCTGGGAGAGTACCTGGAGTTACCGCCCCCTCTGGGAGAGCCCCTGGGTTCTCTATCGATTCAGGCCTGGCCCCTGGGGTCGCCGTTGCTAGTGATAAGGCCCCTGGGGTTGTCGCCCCCTCTGCTAGGGCTCCTTGGGTCACTGCCACCCTTGCGGGTGCCACTGCCCCTGGAAGAGCCGTTGGTGGCGTCGACGCCATTGGGAGGGCCCATGGGAGTTTTGCCCCCCCTGGGGGAGCCCCTGTGGGCTCTGCCTCCACTATGAAGGCTTCTGGAGGCAACCACGCCCCTGGAAAACCCTGTGGGATCGCCGACGCCTCTGAGAGAGCCCATGTGTAGCCGCCGATCCTGGGAAGTTCCCTGGTGGCTCTGCCGCCCCTGGGAGGGTCCTTGGGGATGACACACCTGGTAGGGCAAATGGGAGGGTTCCAGGGAGCACTGTCCCTGTAGGGCCTCTGAGGGCAGTTGTTTTTGCACTATTTAGAATAATGGGAGATACGAGGGTTAAATTATACACTGCCCATCACATTTCCAGTACCATCGTATCACGAACAATGTAAAGGAAAATAAATATCCAACAGGAAAACATAAGTTGGGGTGTTGTGCTGACTGCTGGCTCTGTTCTGCTATTGGCTGTAAGTTGGTGGATTTACATTTTACTCCACGAATCACAGTAAAGTAAGTGATTGTTGGACGTTTGCCATATATACTGCACCATGACCAAGCAAGCTATAGGGCTTCTTGGAGGGACGCTCCTTGTAGGGCCCCTGGGGCGCCACAGCCTCTGGGACGGACATAGGGGCACTTTTGTCTATGGGAAGGTCTCTGGGGTCGGCGCCCCCGACCCTGGGAGGACTGGTGGAGTTACCACCGCCTTTGCGAGGGCCCCTGGGGTACAGCGACTCAAGGAGCCTTTGCAGGGGCTTCAACGTTCCCCGGGGCCTTCCATGGGGCTGTGGCGACCCCGGAGGCCCTCTCTGGAGCAACGGCGATTCCAGAGGCCTTATCAAGGGCAGCAACGACCCAAGAGATCCTCTCTGAAGCCTCAGCGACTCCATGGGGCCCTCCCATTGTCATAGAAGCCCTCAAGGGCCCTTTCAGGGGCGTCGGCGCCCCCTGGGGCCCTCCTAGATGCGGCAGTGTCCACAGGGGGCCCATGGGGGTGGTGACGACCTCAGAGACAAACTCAGGGGAAGCTGTAACCCCAAAGGCCCTCTCAGGGGCAGCGGCAACCTCGTGGTTCTCCAAGCGACAGCATCACCTCCAGAGGCCCTCTCAAGGGCGGTGGCGAGCCCATGTGCTCTCGCAGGGGATGGTGTGAACACAGGGGCCCTCTCAGGCGTGGCAGGGCTCTCAAGGGTCCTTCCAGGCATTGTAGTGCCCCAGGGGCCCTACCAGGGGAGCCGCTTCCCAGAAGCCTTATAGCTTGCTTGGTCATGGTGCTGTATATATTGCATACGTGCAGTAATCCTTTAGTTAACTGTGATTGGTGGACTAAAATGTAAATCCACCAATTTACAGCGAAAAGGAGAACAAAACAGTCAGTCAGCACAACACCCCAACTTATGTTTTCCTGTTGGATATATATTCTTCTTTACATTGTTCATGATTCGATGGTACTGGAAATGTGATGAGCGGTGTATTTATTTAAAGCTCATAGTGCACCTTGAACAATGTAAAGGAGAATAAATATCCAACAGGAAAGCATAAGTTGGGGTGTTGTGCTGAATGACTCCTCTGTTCTACTATTGGCTGTAATTTGGTGGGTTTACATTTTAATCCACCAATCACAGTAAAGTAAGGGATTGCTGGACGTCTGCAATATATATACTACATTATGAAAAAGCAAGTTATAAGGCTTCTGGGAGGGGGCAGCCCTGGTAGGGCCCCTGGGGCACCGTCACCTCTGGAAGGGCCCCAGGGGGCACTGCCGCCTCTGGGCGGGCCTCTAGGGGCACTGCGGTCGCCCCTGGGAGGGCACCTGGAGTTACCGCCCACCTGGGAGAGCCCCTGGGTTCTCTATCGATTTCGGTCCTGGCCCCTGGGGTCGCTGTAGCTCCTGATAAGGCCCATGGGGTCGTCGTTGCTCCTGATAAGGCCCCCTCTGCAAGGGCTCCTTGGGTCACTGCCACCTTTGGGGGTGCCACCGCCCCTGGAAGAGCCCTTGGTGGCGCCGCCATCAATGGGAGGGCCCATGAGAGTTTCGCTCCCCTGGGGGAGCCCCTGTGGGCACTGCCTCCACTATGAAGGCTTCTGAGGGCAACCACGCCCCTGGAAACGCCTATGGGATCGCCGACGCCTCTATGAGAGACCCTGTGTCGCCGCCGATCCTGGGAATTTCCCTGGTGGCGCCGCCACCCCTGGGAGGATCCCTGGGGGTGCCGCACCTGGTAGGGCAAAGGGGAGGGTTCCAGGGAGCGCTGTCCCTTCTAGGGCCTCAGAGGGCAGTTGTTTTTTGTACTATTTAGAATAATGTGACATATGAGGGTCAAATAAATACACTGCCCATCACATTTCCAGTACCATCGTAACACGAACAATGTAAAGGAGAACATATATCAAACAGGAAAACATAAGTTGGGGTGTTGTGCTGACTGCTGGCTCTGTTCTCCTATTGGCTATAATTTGGTGGATTTACATTTTAGTCCACCAATCACAGTTAAGTAAGGGATTGCTGGACGTATGCAATATATTCAGCACCTTGACCAAGCAAGCTATAGGGCTTCTGGGAGGGATGCTTCTGGTAGGGCCCCTGGGGCGCCACAGCCTCTGGGACGGCCATAGGGGCACTTCTGTCTATGGGAGGGCCTCTGGGGTCGCCGTACCCGCCCCTGGGAGGGCTGCTGGTGTTACCATCGCCTTTGCGAGGGTCCCTGGGGTCACAGCAATTCAAGGAGCATAAGCAGGGGCTTCACGGACCCGTGGTACCTTCCCTGGGGCTGTGGCGACCCCTTGAGGCCCTCTCTGGAGCAACGGCGATTCTAGAGGCCTTATGAAGGGCAGCAACGACCCGAGGGATCTTTCCTGAGGCCTCAGCGACCCCATGGGGCCCTCCAATTGTCGTCGGAGCCCTCAAAGGCCCTCCCATGGGCGTCGTCGCCCCCTGGGGCCCTCTCAGCGGTGGCAGTGTCCACAGGGGCCCCATGGGGGTGGTGAAGACCTCAGAGACAAACTCAGGGTAAGCTGTAACCCCAAGGGCCCTCTTAGGGGCAGTGGAAACCCCGTGGTTCTCCAAGTGACAGCATCACCTCCAGAGGCCCTCTCAAGGGCGGTGGCGACCCCATGTTCTCTCGCAGGGGCTGGTGGGACCGCAGGGGCCCTCTCAGGCATGGCAGGGCTCTCAAAGGCTCTTTCAGGCACTGTAGTGCCCCAGGGGCCCTACCAGGGGCGCCCCTTCCCAGAAGCCCTATAGCTTGCTTGGTCATGGTGCTGTATATATTGCATACGCGCAGTAATCCCTTACTTAACTGTGATTGGTGGACTAAAATGTAAACCCACCAAATTACAGCCAATAGGAGAACAGAGGAGTCAGTCAGCACAACACCCTGACTTATGTTTTCCTGTTGGATATTTATTCTCCTTTACATTGTTCATGATTCGATGATACTGGAAATGTGAAGGGCGGTGTATTTATACGCTCATAGTGCACCTTGAACAATGTAAAGGAGAATAAATATCCAACAGGAAAACATAAGTCAGGGTGTTGTGCTGACTGACTCCTCTGTTCTCCTATTGGCTGTAATTTGGGGGGTTTACATTTTAGTCCACCAATCACAGTAAAGTAAAGGATTGCTGGACGTCTGCAATATATACTACATTATGAACAAGCAAGTTATAAGGCTTTTGGGAGGGGGCAGCCCTGGTAGGGCCATTGGGGCACCGTTGCCTCTGGGAGGGCCCCAGAAGGCACTGCAGTCGCCCCTGGGAGAGTACCTGGAGTTACCGCCCCCTTTGGGAGAGCCCCTGGGTTCTCTATCGATTCCGGCCTGGCCCCTGGGGCCGCGGTTGCTCCTGAGAAGGCCCCTGGGGTTGCCGCCCCCTCTGCTAGGGCTCCTTGGGTCACTGCCACCGTTGGGGGTGCCACTGCCCCTGGAGGAGCCGTTGGTGGCGCCGCGGCCATTGGGAGGGCCCATGGGAGTTTCGCTCCCCATGGGGGAGCCCTTTTGGGCACCACCTCCACTCTTTAGGCTTCTCGGGGCAACCACGGCCCTGGAAAAGCCTGTGGGATCGCCGACGCCTCTGATAGAGCCCCTGTGTCGCCGCCGTTCCTGGGAAGTTCCCTGGTGGCGCCGCCGCCCCTGGGAGGGTCCCTGGGGGTGCCGCACCTGGTAGGGCAAATGGGAGGGTTCCAGGGAGCGCTGTCCCTGTAGGGCCTCAGAAGGCAGCTGTTTTTTGCACTCTTTAGAATAATGTGAGATATGAGGGTTAAATAATACACTGCCCATCACATTTCCAGTACCATCGTAACACGAACAATGTAAAGGAGAACATATATCAAACAGGAAAACATAAGTTGGGGTGTTGTGCTGACTGCTGGCTCTGTTCTCCTATTGGCTATAATTTGGTCGATTTACATTTTAGTCCACCAATCATAGTTTAAGTAAGAATTGCTGGACCTATGCAATATATTCAGCACCATGACCAAGCAAGCTATAGGACTTATCGGCGGGACGCTTCTGGTAGGGCCCCTGGGGCGCCACAGCCTCTGGGACGGCCATAGGGGCACTTCTGTCTATGGGAGGGCCTCTGGGGTCGCCGTAACCGCCCCTGGGAGAGTACCTGGAGTTACCGCCCCCTCTGGGAGAGCCCCTGGGTTCTCTATCGATTCCGGCCTGGCCCCTGGGGTCGCCGTTGCTAGTGATAAGGCCCCTGGGGTTGTCGCCCCCTCTGCTAGGGCTCCTTGGGTCACTGCCACCCTTGCGGGTGCCACTGCCCCTGGAAGAGCCGTTGGTGGCGTCGACGCCATTGGGAGGGCCCATGGGAGTTTTGCCCCCCCTGGGGGAGCCCCTGTGGGCTCTGCCTCCACTATGAAGGCTTCTGGAGGCAACCACGCCCCTGGAAAACCCTGTGGGATCGCCGACGCCTCTGAGAGAGCCCATGTGTAGCCGCCGATCCTGGGAAGTTCCCTGGTGGCTCTGCCGCCCCTGGGAGGGTCCTTGGGGATGACACACCTGGTAGGGCAAATGGGAGGGTTCCAGGGAGCACTGTCCCTGTAGGGCCTCTGAGGGCAGTTGTTTTTGCACTATTTAGAATAATGGGAGATACGAGGGTTAAATTATACACTGCCCATCACATTTCCAGTACCATCGTATCACGAACAATGTAAAGGAAAATAAATATCCAACAGGAAAACATAAGTTGGGGTGTTGTGCTGACTGCTGGCTCTGTTCTGCTATTGGCTGTAAGTTGGTGGATTTACATTTTAGTCCACGAATCACAGTAAAGTAAGTGATTGTTGGACGTTTGCCATATATACTGCACCATGACCAAGCAAGCTATAGGGCTTCTTGGAGGGACGCTCCTTGTAGGGCCCCTGGGGCGCCACAGCCTCTGGGACGGACATAGGGGCACTTTTGTCTATGGGAAGGTCTCTGGGGTCGGCGCCCCCGACCCTGGGAGGACTGGTGGAGTTACCACCGCCTTTGCGAGGGCCCCTGGGGTACAGCGACTCAAGGAGCCTTTGCAGGGGCTTCAACGTTCCCCGGGGCCTTCCATGGGGCTGTGGCGACCCCGGAGGCCCTCTCTGGAGCAACGGCGATTCCAGAGGCCTTATCAAGGGCAGCAACGACCCAAGAGATCCTCTCTGAAGCCTCAGCGACTCCATGGGGCCCTCCCATTGTCATAGAAGCCCTCAAGGGCCCTTTCAGGGGCGTCGGCGCCCCCTGGGGCCCTCCTAGATGCGGCAGTGTCCACAGGGGGCCCATGGGGGTGGTGACGACCTCAGAGACAAACTCAGGGGAAGCTGTAACCCCAAAGGCCCTCTCAGGGGCAGCGGCAACCTCGTGGTTCTCCAAGCGACAGCATCACCTCCAGAGGCCCTCTCAAGGGCGGTGGCGAGCCCATGTGCTCTCGCAGGGGATGGTGTGAACACAGGGGCCCTCTCAGGCGTGGCAGGGCTCTCAAGGGTCCTTCCAGGCATTGTAGTGCCCCAGGGGCCCTACCAGGGGAGCCGCTTCCCAGAAGCCTTATAGCTTGCTTGGTCATGGTGCTGTATATATTGCATACATGCAGTAATCCTTTAGTTAACTGTGATTGGTGGACTAAAATGTAAATCCACCAATTTACAGCGAAAAGGAGAACAAAACAGTCAGTCAGCACAACACCCCAACTTATGTTTTCCTGTTGGATATATATTCTTCTTTACATTGTTCATGATTCGATGGTACTGGAAATGTGATGAGCGGTGTATTTATTTAAAGCTCATAGTGCACCTTGAACAATGTAAAGGAGAATAAATATCCAACAGGAAAACATAAGTTGGGGTGTTGTGCTGAATGACTCCTCTGTTCTACTATTGGCTGTAATTTGGTGGGTTTACCATTTAATCCACCAATCACAGTAAAGTAAGGGATTGCTGGACGTCTGCAATATATACTACATTATGAAAAAGCAAGTTATAAGGCTTCTGGGAGGGGGCAGCCCTGGTAGGGCCCCTGGGGCACCGTCACCTCTGGAAGGGCCCTAGGGGGCACTGCCGCCTCTGGGCGGGCCTCTAGGGGCACTGCGGTCGCCCCTGGGAGGGCACCTGGAGTTACCGCCCACCTGGGAGAGCCCCTGGGTTCTCTATCGATTTCGGTCCTGGCCCCTGGGGTCGCTGTAGCTCCTGATAAGGCCCATGGGGTCGTCGTTGCTCCTGATAAGGCCCCCTCTGCAAGGGCTCCTTTGGTCACTGCCACCTTTGGGGGTGCCACCGCCCCTGGAAGAGCCCTTGGTGGCGCCGCCATCAATGGGAGGGCCCATGAGAGTTTCGCTCCCCTGGGGGAGCCCCTGTGGGCACTGCCTCCACTATGAAGGCTTCTGAGGGCAACCACGCCCCTGGAAACGCCTGTGGGATCGCCGACGCCTCTATGAGAGACCCTGTGTCGCCGCCGATCCTGGGAAGTTCCCTGGTGGCGCCGCCACCCCTGGGAGGATCCCTGGGGGTGCCGCACCTGGTAGGGCAAAGGGGAGGGTTCCAGGGAGCGCTGTCCCTTCTAGGGCCTCAGAGGGCAGTTGTTTTTTGTACTATTTAGAATAATGTGAGATATGAGGGTTAAATAAATACACTGCCCATCACATTTCCAGTACCATCGTAACACGAACAATGTAAAGGAGAACATATATCAAACAGGAAAACATAAGTTGGGGTGTTGTGCTGACTGCTGGCTCTGTTCTCCTATTGGCTATAATTTGGTGGATTTACATTTTAGTCCACCAATCACAGTTAAGTAAGGGATTGCTGGACGTATGCAATATATTCAGCACCTTGACCAAGCAAGCTATAGGACTTATGGCGGGACGCTTCTGGTAGGGCCCCTGGGGCGCCACAGCCTCTGGGACGGCCATAGGGGCACTTCTGTCTATGGGAGGGCCTCTGGGGTCGCCGTAACCGCCCCTGGGAGGGCTGCTGGAGTTACCACCGCCTTTGCGAGGGTCCCTGGGGTCACAGCAATTCAAGGAGCATAAGCAGGGGCTTCACGGACCCGTGGTACCTTCCCTGGGGCTGTGGCGACCCCTTGAGGCCCTCTCTGGAGCAACGGCGATTCTAGAGGCCTTATGAAGGGCAGCAACGACCCGAGGGATCTTTCCTGAGGCCTCAGCGACCCCATGGGGCCCTCCAATTGTCGTCGGAGCCCTCAAAGGCCCTCCCATGGGCGTCGTCGCCCCCTGGGGCCCTCTCAGCGGTGGCAGTGTCCACAGGGGCCCCATGGGGGTGGTGAAGACCTCAGAGACAAACTCAGGGTAAGCTGTAACCCCAAGGGCCCTCTTAGGGGCAGTGGAAACCCCGTGGTTCTCCAAGTGACAGCATCACCTCCAGAGGCCCTCTCAAGGGCGGTGGCGACCCCATGTTCTCTCGCAGGGGCTGGTGGGACCGCAGGGGCCCTCTCAGGCATGGCAGGGCTCTCAAAGGCTCTTTCAGGCACTGTAGTGCCCCAGGGGCCCTACCAGGGGCGCCCCTTCCCAGAAGCCCTATAGCTTGCTTGGTCATGGTGCTGTATATATTGCATACGCGCAGTAATCCCTTACTTAACTGTGATTGGTGGACTAAAATGTAAACCCACCAAATTACAGCCAATAGGAGAACAGAGGAGTCAGTCAGCACAACACCCTGACTTATGTTTTCCTGTTGGATATTTATTCTCCTTTACATTGTTCATGATTCGATGATACTGGAAATGTGAAGGGCGGTGTATTTATACGCTCATAGTGCACCTTGAACAATGTAAAGGAGAATAAATATCCAACAGGAAAACATAAGTCAGGGTGTTGTGCTGACTGACTCCTCTGTTCTCCTATTGGCTGTAATTTGGTGGGTTTACATTTTAGTCCACCAATCACAGTAAAGTAAAGGATTGCTGGACGTCTGCAATATATACTACATTATGAACAAGCAAGTTATAAGGCTTTTGGGAGGGGGCAGCCCTGGTAGGGCCATTGGGGCACCGTTGCCTCTGGGAGGGCCCCAGGGGGCACTGCAGTCGCCCCTGGGAGAGTACCTGGAGTTACCGCCCCCTTTGGGAGAGCCCCTGGGTTCTCTATCGATTCCGGCCTGGCCCCTGGGGCCGCGGTTGCTCCTGAGAAGGCCCCTGGGGTTGCCGCCCCCTCTGCTAGGGCTCCTTGGGTCACTGCCACCGTTGGGGGTGCCACTGCCCCTGGAGGAGCCGTTGGTGGCGCCGCGGCCATTGGGAGGGCCCATGGGAGTTTCGCTCCCCATGGGGGAGCCCTTTGGGCACCACCTCCACTCTTTAGGCTTCTCGGGGCAACCACGGCCCTGGAAAAGCCTGTGGGATCGCCGACGCCTCTGATAGAGCCCCTGTGTCGCCGCCGTTCCTGGGAAGTTCCCTGGTGGCGCCGCCGCCCCTGGGAGGGTCCCTGGGGGTGCCGCACCTGGTAGGGCAAATGGGAGGGTTCCAGGGAGCGCTGTCCCTGTAGGGCCTCAGAAGGCAGCTGTTTTTTGCACTCTTTAGAATAATGTGAGATATGAGGGTTAAATAATACACTGCCCATCACATTTCCAGTACCATCGTAACACGAACAATGTAAAGGAGAACATATATCAAACAGGAAAACATAAGTTGGGGTGTTGTGCTGACTGCTGGCTCTGTTCTCCTATTGGCTATAATTTGGTCGATTTACATTTTAGTCCACCAATCATAGTTTAGTAAGAAATTGCTGGACGTATGCAATATATTCAGCACCATGACCAAGCAAGCTATAGGACTTATCGGCGGGACGCTTCTGGTAGGGCCCCTGGGGCGCCACAGCCTCTGGGACGGCCATAGGGGCACTTCTGTCTATGGGAGGGCCTCTGGGGTCGCCGTAACCGCCCCTGGGAGAGTACCTGGAGTTACCGCCCCCTCTGGGAGAGCCCCTGGGTTCTCTATCGATTCCGGCCTGGCCCCTGGGGTCGCCGTTGCTAGTGATAAGGCCCCTGGGGTTGTCGCCCCCTCTGCTAGGGCTCCTTGGGTCACTGCCACCCTTGCGGGTGCCACTGCCCCTGGAAGAGCCGTTGGTGGCGTCGACGCCATTGGGAGGGCCCATGGGAGTTTTGCCCCCTGCGTCGCCGCCACCCTGGGAGGGTCCTGGGGTGCTGCACCTGGTAGGGCAAATGGAGGGTTCCAGGGAGCACTGTCCCTGTAGGGCCTCTGAGGGCAGTTGTTTTTGCACTATTTAGAATAATGGGAGATACGAGGGTTAAATTATACACTGCCCATCACATTTCCAGTACCATCGTAACACGAACAATGTAAAGGAAAACATATATCTAACAGGAAAACATAAGTTGGGGTGTTGTGCTGACTGCTGGCTCTGTTCTGCTATTGGCTGTAAGTTGGTGGATTTACATTTTAGTCCACGAATCACAGTAAAGTAAGGGATTGTTGGACGTTTGCCATATATACTGCACCATGACCAAGCAAGCTATAGGGCTTCTTGGAGGGACGCTCCTTGTAGGGCCCCTGGGGCGCCACAGCCTCTGGGACGGACATAGGGGCACTTTTGTCTATGGGAAGGTCTCTGGGGTCGGCGCCCCCGACCCTGGGAGGACTGGTGGAGTTACCACCGCCTTTGCGAGGGCCCCTGGGGTTACAGCGACTCAAGGAGCCTTTGCAGGGGCTTCAACGTTCCTCGGGGCCTTCCATGGGACTGTGGCGACCCCGGAGGCCCTCTCTGGAGCAACGGCGATTCCAGAGGCCTTATCAAGGGAAGCAACGACCCAAGAGATCCTCTCTGAAGCCTCAGCGACTCCATGCGGCCCTCCCATTGTCATAGAAGCCCTCAAGGGCCCTTTCAGGGTCGTCGGCGCCCCCTGCGGCCCTCTCAGAGGCGGCAGTGTCCACAGGGGCCCCATGGGGGTGGTGACGACCTCAGAGACAAACTCAGGGGAAGCTGTAACCCCAAGGGCTCTCTCGGGGGCAGCGGCAACCCCGTGGTTCTCCAAGCGACTGCATCACCTCCAGAGGCCCTCTCAAGTTCGGTGGCGACCCCATGGGCTCTCGCAGGGGCTGGTGCGACCCCAGGGGCTCTCTCAGGCGTGGCAGGGCTCTCAAGGGACCTTCCAGGCACTGTAGTGGCCGAGGGGCCCTACCAGGGGCGCCCCTTCCCAGAAGCCTTATAGCTTGCTTAGGATAGGTATTGGGGATTACTGGCCACTTCGCCGTTAGGCTATTTCGGCCGAAGCTGTTTGAGTGTAGACTCATTTTCTTTGGACTTCTTCCTTTTCTTGTTTCTTCTTTTCTTTTCAATTTCCATTTTTCTTCCTGGTCTTGATCTGGAATATTCTCATACACTTCTATAAACGGCGTTAATGATAGTGTTATAAAATCGGGTTCAATTTTGGCTTCTTCTTTTCCCGTGGTCTTCTTGGGGTCTTGATTATTTGTTGTGGTCTTGTTCGGGTCTTGATTGGTCTTTTCTTCAGATTTCACTACAAGGAGAGCCTCCTTGTAGCTCAGTCTTTCGTTGCTTCGAAGCTTGGCCACCCTACACTCCTCCCTCCACTTGGGACACTCCCTGTCGGAGGAGGAGTGAGGGCCACCACAAGCTGTGCACTTCTTGGCGGCCGCCGAGCAGTTGGTGTCCTGGTGCCCGGGTGTCCCGCAGCTGGAACACACCTCCCGAGCACGACACTTCCGCGCCAGATGGCCGTACCTCTGGCATTTGTAGCATCTTGTAGGCCTTCGCTGATACGGTCTTACTGGGATCTTCTCCCATCCCAGCAAAACGGTGCTAGGTAGTTTCTTTGGGTAGCCAGCCAGTGCAGCTGTATTGGTCAGCTTCCGTACTATTGAGAGCTGGTCTCCGATCAGCTCGGCCAGTTCTTTTTCTAAATGTTCAATTTCTGTGTGGGAGATGACTCCCAAAACCAAGTTGTCTTCTATGCAGGCTTCAACTTGGATCTGGATCCCGTTGATTTCTCTTAGGTATTCTAGTTGCTGGGCCTCTCCCCATTCCGCGAAGGTGACGATAAGGCCACCGCTGTCTCTGCGGACGACCCCTGTCACCCCCGTGATTCCTGAGGAGTCAAAAAACTTCCTCAGGACAAGGAGGTTCAGTTGCTTGGCCGAAAGGCGCTTGACTGAATACCGTCTAACGACCTTCGCCTGGTTGCAGGTGAACATTGTCTGGTTCTCGTGGTACCTCGGGAGCAGAAAGAACCTACCTCGCCGAGGTTCAGTTCTCAAGTGAGCTTGCTTGGTCATGGTGCTGTATATGTTGCATACATGCAATAATCCCTTACTTAACTGTGATTGGTGGACTAAAATGTAAATCCACCAAATTACAGCCAATAGGAGAACAGAACAGTCAGTCAGCACAACACCTCAACTTATGTTTTCCTGTTGGATATTTATTCTTCTTTACATTGTCCATGATTCGATGGTACAAGAAATGTGATTGGTGGTGTATATATTTAACGCTCATAGTGCACCTTGAACAATGTAAAGGAGAATAAATATCCAATAGGAAAACATAAGTCAGGGTGTTGTGCTGACTGACTCCTCTGTTCTATTATTGGCTGTAATTTGGTGGGTTTACATTTTAGTCCACCAATCACAGTAATGTAAGGGATTGCTGAAAGTCTGTAATATACATACTACATTACGAACAAGCAAGTTATAAGGCTTCTGGGAGAGGGAAGCCCTGGTAGGGCCCCTGGGGCACCGTCGCCTCTGGGAGGGCCCCAGGGGGCACTGCCGCCTCTGGGCGGGCCCCTAGGGCACTGCGGTCGCCCCTGGGAGTGCACCTCGAGTTACCGCCCACCTGGGAGAGCCCCTGGGTTCTCTATCGATTCCGGCCTGGCCCCTGGGGTCGCCGTAGCTCCTGATAAGGCCCTTGGGATCGCCGTTGCTCCTGATAAGGCCCCCTCTGCTAGGGCTCCTTGGGTCACTGCCACCCTTGGGGGTGCCACCGCCCCTGGAAGAGCCCTTGGTGGCGCCGCCATCAATGGGAGGGCCCATGGGAGATTCGCTCCCCTGGGGAGACCCTGTGGGCACCGCCTCCACTATGAAGGCTTCTGGGGGCAACCACGCCCCTGGAAACGCCTGTGGCATCGCCGACGCCTCTGTGAGAGACACTGTGTCGCCGCCGATCCTGGGAAGATCCCTGGTGGCGCCGCCGCCCCTGGGAGGTTCCCTGGGGGTGCCGCACCTGGTATGGCAAATGGGAGGGTTCTAGGGAGCGCTGTCCCTGTAGGGCCTCTAAGGGCAGTTGTTTTTTGCACTATTTAGAATAATGGGAGATACGAGTGTTAAATAAATACACTGCCCATCACATTTGCAGTACCATCGTATCACGAAAATGTAAAGGAGAACATATATCAAACAGGAAAACATAAGTTGGGGTGTTGTGCTGACTGCTGGCTCTGTTCTCCTATTGGCTATAATTTAGTGGATTTACATTTTAGTCCACCAATCACAGTTAAGTAAGGGATTGCTGGACGTATGCAATATATTCAGCACCATGCCCAAGCAAGCTATAGGACTTATCGGCGGGACGCTTCTGGTAGGGCCCCTGGGGCGCCACAGCCTCTGGGACGGCCATAGGGGCACTTCTGTCTATGGGAGGGCCTCTGGGGTCGCCGTAACCGCCCCTGGGAGGGCTGCTGGAGTTACCACCGCCTTTGCGAGGGCCCCTGGGGTCACAGCGATTCAAGGAGCATAAGCAGGGGCTTCAAGGACCTGCGGTACCTTCCCTGGGGCTGTGGCGACCCCAGAGGCCCTCTCTGGAGCAACGGCGTTTCTAGAGGCCTTATCAAGAGCAGCAACGTCCCTAGGGATCTTTCTTGAGGCCTCTGCGACACCATGGGACCCTCCAATTGTCGTCGGAGCCCCGAAGGGCCCTCCCAAGGGCGTCGGCGCACCCTGGGGCCCTCCAAGTGGCGGCAGTGTCCACTGAGGCCCCATGGGGGTGGTGACGACCTTAGAGACAAACTCAGGGGAAGCTGTAACCCCAAGGGCTCTCTCGGGGGCAGCGGCAACCCCGTAGTTCTCCAAGCGACAGCATCACCTCCAGAGGCCCTCTCAAGTTCGGTGGCGACCCCATGTTCTCTCGGAGGGGCTGGTGCGACCCCAGGGGCCCTCTCAGGCGTCGCAGGGCTCTCAAGGGACCTTCCAGGCACTGTAGTGCCCCAGGGGCCCTACCAGGGGCGCCCCTTCCCAGAAGCCTTATAGCTTGCTTGGTCATGGTGCTGTATATATTGCTTACGTGCAATAATCCCTTACTTAACTGTGATTGGTGGACTAAAATGTAAATCCACCAAATTACAGCCAATAGGAGAACAGAACAGTCAGTCAACACAACACCTCAACTTATGTTTTCCTGTTGGATATTTATTCTTCTTTACATTGTTTATGATTCGATGGTACTAGAAATGTGATGGGCGGTGTATATATTCAACGCTCATAGTGCACCTTGAACAATGTAAAGGAAAATAAATATCCAATAGGAAAACATAGGTCAGGGTGTTGTGCTGAATGACTCCTCTGTTCTATTATTGGCTGTAATTTGGTGGGTTTACATTTAATCCACCAATCACAGTAAAGTAAGGGATTGCTGGACGTCTGCAATATATATACTACATTACGAACGAGCAAGTTATAAGGCTTCTGGGAGGGGGAAGCCCTGGTAGGGCCCCTGGGGCACCGTCGCCTATGGGAGGGCCCCAGGGGGCACTGCCGCCTCTGGGCAGGCCCCTAGGGGCACTGTGGTCGCCCCTGGGAGGGCACCTCGAGTTTCCGCCCACCTGGGAGAGCCCTTGGGTTCTCTATCGATTCCGGCCTGGCCCCTGGGGTCGCCGCAGCTCCTAATAAGGCTCTTGGGGTCACCGTTGCTCCTGATAAGGCCCCCTTTGCTAGGGCTCCTTGGGTCACTGCCACCTTTGGGGGTGCCACCGCCCCTGGAAGAGCCCTTCGTGGCGCCGCCATCAATGGGAGGGCCCATAGGAGTTTCGCTCCCCTGGGGGAGCCCCTGTGGGCACCGCCTCCACTATGAAGGCTTCTGGGGGCAACCACGCCCCTGGAAACGCCTGTGGGATCGCCAACGCC